AGAATAAACGTCGACGAGAAACGGATTTGTGGAAGATGAGAGAAAGCCTCGTTAATTCTTTAATTCACCGTTATATTCGTGTTAACGGGCAATATTTCATGGCGTTGGCAGACATTGCGCGCGTTATCTTCTTATCGGGTGTCTCGAATAGCGTTAGTTCATTAGTGAACAATTATATACGTTATGGAGCGTTGTCTCTACACGCGTCGTTGCGTAATAAAGCATAAATCTCTGTGCCCCAGCAAACATGTACACCAAATGGAGAACGAAGACGGTGCAATAGTTCGCGCTACTACAACATGCATATGTATGTTTCATACATTGTTATTCATTAATCTTGTCTCGAACCCTTCTAGCAGCTAATCCATGCATCATTTGCGAGCAAAAAAGCATATAAATTTTTGAATTTTTAAATAAGAATTAAAATTAGCATAACTAGTAACTTCATAAAAAATTTTACAATTGAAATATCAAAAAATCGAAATTCCCTTTCTAATGAGAATTCCCTTTCTAATTAGATGATAATCGAAAACTATATTCATAAATAAATCATAAAAATAATTAAATTTCACGAAATATTGATTTATGCTACAAATGTATTTGTAGAAAAATAGAATCTTTTTACAAATAAATAGAATTTTTTAATAAATAAATTATAGTACAGGAATAATCACAATAACACATTTTCGCAACAATTTATTGCTTAATAAGTATTGTATGCAGATCATCTGGTACGCAAACTCCGATGCCAGCGTTATCGATAATATCTATGATATGAGTTACAGAGCATTTAACTAAGATTACTGCAATTTATCAAGACTACTGTAGACTCTCGTTATAAATCGAGCGATGTACATAATTCGGCTTGAAACATCGGATCGAACTTGACATTATTGACTTTTACGTCGAGATAGGCTTTTTTGTAAAATAAATAAAGAAAAAATCAGATGATTTTATTTATCAAAATCTTGGTGTTTATAAACAACTCGATGTTGCACCAGAAAAATCAATCTTATCATTTACAATGTAAAAAATATCGATCGAAAAATATCAAAGAGCTTAAATTGCTGTAGTCTGATTATATTCGGGCTTATTCTACTGGCATATTCTAATCCGGATTTGTCGATTGTCCGGATACTTACATACATATACATATGTAATAAAATTATTTCGCTTATTGTACATTTTTTAGCTGTAAAATAACCAAATGATAATAATCAATGTATTTGTATGAAAAGAAATTTAACAAGTGATAAACAAATGCAAATACGCGCTGTCATACGGCGTATATTCAGTCTCTCATTTTCTTTCTTTTCATTTCCGTGATTATACGCGGTGATACAACGCACGCAGAGAGCCGACTCGATAATTTGTAGAATAAATAAGCCGATGAAAAAACGAAGACAGCTGAGGGGACTACGCACTCGTTCTTCGTCCGCCAAGCGTTTTTCACGAATATTAAATCGGCTCGTGGAATCGCCATAGCGCCGCTGCTAGATACATATCGGGATACGTATCACGGTGATCGCGCGAACGAAATGGCGCTCCCGAACCAATTATCCTCTCTCGAATATCCACAACACGGCACTAAGCACCCCGGGGCGACCGAGATGCAGATGATGCGCTGCTGCTCGTTGAAGATCGACCGCGACGATGGTCGGCGCAATGGATGGAGGGTATCTGCCTATCTACGCGTCGACATGCGTGTGCGTGAGATAATTGCTCGCACGATTTTGCGTAATGCAGTAGATACAAGATTGCGAAATCTCGGGATCAGAAAAGCGAAGCGAGGCAGCGCGGAACTGAGAGTCCCCGATCCCGTAAATCAAGGGTGCGCGTTACTTACAATAATTTCTCAGCGCTAATTACATCGAGTAAAATTAATCTCGATTCGACGATAAGAGAGCAACAACGATAACTTGATCTTTATGCCTCAGGAGTAATGTAGGAGCGAAAGGTTGAACGCGCACCGACTTATCGTCTGTTGCAATCGATAGAGCTGATTTTACTTTGTTGAGGCTCTTATAGAACAAATTTTATATAGTGACGTGATTTATGTTTTAATAAATAATGAGAGATAAATATGTCGCATTTTATATACGATTAAAATCATCAAGAATAACATTGTGTGATACGAGTATTTTTGCTCTCACAAAATGTGAATGAGTGACTTGAGATACGAGTATTTTTGCTCTCACAAAATGTGATGAGGATACCTTTGTACGGCATGAGCCGCGAATTATTTTCCTTGTCAAATATTCGGCTACCAACGTCGGACAATCATTTGCAAAGGATAGACAAGAAGATCGACATGTCGAGGATCCGAGGAAGATTGCAAAAGAGGTACTCGAAGACGGCTGCTCGAGCGCAACCTTCGCCCCCGGCGGGACCACGGCCGGCGAGACGCACGTTGAAACAACAAGAGGAACATCGTCGAGGAACAGAAATGTACGGGGAACGAGGAGAGAGGAGTGACGCTCTCGGAGAAAGAGTAAAGCCGGCGGTGGGTTGTACACGGTATAATTACAGAGGGTAGAGCAGTGGCTAGACCCACTGCAGCAAACTTACCGTTGCCCAAGGCGCCAGCATACTCGAAATCGACCGATCCCGCTGCGACTCCGGTCCTAATTCGTATTCGTGCCCCGGGTGTAGCAGATAGGATACGCCTCGAAAAACGGCGGAAGGAATCTCCCGCACTACGCCCTTCTTTCTGTCGGCCACATTCTTTCTTCCTCGCCTCTCCTTTGCAATGCAGATGGGGTAAGCAAGAGTCTTTTGTAGCATAAAGTAACGTCTTTGTAAGTGAAAGACACATAGGAGAAATCTTCGAGGAAAGGAAATAATAATGTAGCGGATATCAAGAAAATTAGAGTGATTTAATTACCTTCTATATTTTTTTCATATTCTTTTAATATTCCACGTGTAATATACGCATGTGTTGACACGTATATAATTATTCTACTGTCTCGCATCAATTTAATCTCGTAATATTTAATCGTATCGCGAAACGTAAATCTGCATTAACCACCCCTCTTACTCGGATGGGCAAACCATGTTTGAACCAAATGATATTTTTTTCTTTCGATACGCGATGCAAAAGGAGGATGGAAAGGGGACCCCGGTTTCTTCGTACTTTTATTTTTATTCTGGCGTAATACGCGCGAACCGAAGAGTGACGATCTCGAATCCTCTAATTTCGGCTGGCCGCAGCCACCGATAATTAACGAACTATAATCAACGGGGCAACGTAACGAAACGTAACGTGGCGCTCTCTTTTCGGGCCCCGGCTGGTTGGGCCGCATTAAGTCCTATGCACACCGGCGTAATTGCGCGTGTGTATGCACACACAATTTATTAGATGTCGCCAATTAGATTATGATGAGGTATGCCGACGTCCCTGGTGCTGAATAAACTTTCATCTCTACGTTCGCGAGGTCGTTCGTATAAATTTCATTTGCATAAATTATCAAAATCATTAAAATCCAATCGATTGTAAAGGAAAGGAATTTACGTTGATATTAAGATATTCCACGAAAAGTCGTTAAAGTTTATTAATGTGATTTTATATCTTTGCGAAATATAAAATGCTAGACAATAGCTGTCAATTTTTCTTGCTCCAAAATTAAGAGGAGAATAAAAATATCATTACTCGACCTCTGAAGCTTTAAATAATAATTCTCATTTCCTCTTTCCTGTTGTTGGAATTTTTACTACGTCTTGCACATGAAGAGGCGGTTTTTCAACGACGTATGAGAGGAGCCTAAACATTTCGCTGTTATAATTACATGGTGCCGCGAACGGGAGCTGGCAGCCTTGCGGCGGCAAAGCCGGGTGAGCGACATCGCGAGTGCGATCTACAAGTTCAGATCGCGTGAGATGTTTCTTCGTTAGGTCAAGATATACTTGCATATATACGTATAAGCACAAAAGCGACGCTCCTAAAGCGATGATTGACATGAACGAGAAAAGCGAAGGAAGTTATCGCTGATGGTACTTTTTTTGCGCGTCCATGGCAAAAGACTCTGCGTGCGAAGAACCGCTGTTTCTTGATGTGATCAATGTATTATTTGGTTTATAACTAGATTCGAATAATGCATTATGTATTCGGAACATTAAATAGGGTACGCTTTTTTCGCTATCGCATGTACAGTCTTAAAAAGTTAATTTCTTTCTATTATATAGAACAATCAAACGTTCCTACTAGATACAATTGCGCAATTTCTTCGAAATGTAATTTTTACAAGTGCGAAGAATAAAAATATTATTACGCACAATAATTATTATTAGGTTTAATGCGAATTAATAATTCAATGTTAGATAATAGTAATAATTTGTGGAATAGCTTGAAACATTACGTAATCTTTTTTATCTCTTCACAAAAAATGCTACTTTTGTTTTATTAGCTATTCTTTGCTCTGCCTGCTTTTTGCGTCTTGTAATTCCGTAATAAGTTGTAATATGTTTATCTCCCTCCACTCTCCTCCCTTCCATTACTTCTTCCAACAAACCCCTATGTTTGTTCGCTCCCTTTTCTTCTGCGCGTGCCATTTCCTTATCAGATATTCAAGCAAATGCTTCTACTTTTCCTTTATCGTAATCACTCCCTAAGAAAATGACATAGAGCATAGCTATTTCGCGTGCGGTTGTTAATTTATCGCGGTTATTCGTATCGGGATCGATTCCTCTCGTCCGCTAAACTCCATCGTAGTTCTTCCGCATACAGGTTTCGGAACTGGATCGAGCATAGAACGGGGTACACAGTGGATGGCGCGTACCCCGCGAGCAGAAATTATCCACTTTTGCGGTAATTCGTAGCTGCCGATGCGCATGGGGCACCACGCAAAATGGCCGCCGACTCGCGAGTCCCGATTGGTGACGACGGGGTGGGTTATTTGAACGGCGGTTGGTGGTTCAGCGTTGCCCGGCGCGAGTAATTTTGATCGTGATTATACTAATTTCATAGTATACCCCTTCTCGGTGGCTTAAGCATCGGCCGGGTTCACACGAGCAGCGACGCGAGCCAAGAGTAACAGTGCCCGTGAAATGCAGAGCGGTTCGAAAAGTCCTCTCCGCGCCGGCCGCATCCGATTTTCGAGTTTTGAATACCGATCGCAACTATTATCAATGGATTGCGTCGAAATTCAGGTATGTTCTTCCTCTAAAAAAAAAAAGCAATCAAACGTAACTTATCCGGCAATATTAAGTTAAATAGTTTTTAAGATTAAAAACTAAGAAAAAGGATTAAAAATTCGGGTCTACCTGTTTTTTATTGGTTTTAATTATCCACTTGAAATATACAATTTCTTAAAAAAAATTTTTTTCTCATAGAAATACGAGTTCGTTCAGCAAACGCATCTTTAATATTGTTATGTAACGTTTAATTATTTGACTGATTAATTCGACTGATTAATTGTTATGCAATTGTTATCAACGCATAAAAGGTGGATTTTATAGAAATCTTATATCTTTTCCGGGTTAAACAGAAACGTAAAGACGAAGAGTACCGAGCGTGCGAAATGGTAATCGCCTCAGCTATTGCTATTAACGTCGGCTATATTGAACTATAATTGTCTTGCGCTAGCGCGGCATTTCACAAGCAAAAGTCCCCCGTTTTGCTTCCGCCCTTCTCTTTACCATTCCTCCTATATCTTTCTCTCTCCATTCCCTTTGCAGTTTTCTCCTTGTCTGTTGCTTGCACTCTCTTTCTTATTCTTCTGAGATTTCTCTCCTTCTCTCTTCCTCTTTCTCCCTTTCTGTCGTCCCTCTTCTCCTCTTCTCGTAGGCAGCAAGCGGAGCAGCGCTGCCATCGCTGCCGTCGCCGTCGTCGCTCTGGTGGGGGCTAAATTACCACAATTTTGTACTTTTTATACCGCGAGGGAAAAAAAGAGGATAATTTTTGGTGGAAACGCAACAATTTTATCGGCCGTTGTTATGTGAGATCAGTTGGTGTCTACTGCCGCTGCGCGTTACACCTGTCCGCCTCGTACGCTTCGATTCCAAACGCGTCCCCGAATGTCACTTTGACCGGGAACGACCCCGCGATCTCTTCAACATCGAGATGCGCGTCGCCATCTTGGTAACCCTGATGAATGATCCTTGATGGAATCGCGCTTCGACCTTCCAATCAGCCCCGCGATCGCAGAGTTCATCGGAACTATGACAGGTGACGCGTAATGGCTATCGTATATCATTTTACTTCCTTCACAGTGACATTAAAGTGAAGTGTGATGTTTTTGCACGTGTGATAGCACCACGTAGAATCCATCAAATATTTATCATTCGCGAGACTTTTAGTTTCAAGATATATATATACATGAATATTCGTGCTACCAAGTGTGTGCGGCGCAGACAAACGGTCGCCATTTTGGAGAACTTTCGTTCTTTTCCCGCTAGGCGTTATATATGTTATTTTTATGTGTGGGTTGTTGCTGTGATAGTGGAACCCTCGAACTAAGATTTTCTGCAAAAGTTTTTTCTCTCTTTCTTTCTCTCTTAAATTGTTATTTTTTTAACCGTTTTGCTTCGGATGTTTGGCACGATGGGAATGTGCACACGTGATAAGCTAGCCGGTAGATTTTCTGAATAGCTTATAGCTATCTAGGAGGGAGGGGTGTAACTTATACTGAATAGTATATAATATCAACCGTGCTATTTCAATGCTATGGTGCTCAAGTTTGCTCAGGAAAAATTTTCCTATTAGAACTTACAATGAAATTGATAAAAATTGATATTTAATTGAGTTGATGCGTTTCTGTGCACTTATTATTGATATATTCTAAAGTAGAGAGTTAAATCTTTTTTTTTCCATAATTAATGAAATAATTATTTTATTTCACTAAATGATTTTGGAATCTAATCAGTTTGCAGTAGCTGAGAAAACGAAGGCTTCTTAAAGAATTGGCCGTGTGATGAAATAAAAACAATCGGCTACTAGCAGACGATTTTTAATTACTAGTTGTCGCTACGGAATTCGCTATCTTCCATGGCTTCTTCGTCTTCAATGTATAGCGCCTTCCCGAATGGATTCTTTTCGAGTTTCATGCCGGGGGCAGGAGCATCACTGTCCCAGAAGATTTATATCCTTAGAAGTTACGTCCTCACGGGGGTGTTCGCTCTGTGCTCAAAGTTCTTTTCTTTGTTGATTATTTAGCCGTGAGCGATCTTTCTGCCATACACAAGAATTTCGGAGCAGGTCGAGGGTATCGCAATAAGAAGGAACGAAGCCCGAAAGGCATGTCGATGATCCTTATATCGCCTTTGAGGCGATCTAGATGACGTAATGTTGTTAGAACTTATCTGATCTAGGGTTGGATGCTATTAAAAATCTTGATGCTATGTGATGGAAGGCATTCTTTGCCTTTTCGTTCATCGAGATGAAATCGAGAATGCACAAGGTCGATCGAACACCTAGATGTTGATCACGCAAAAATGAAAGCATGGATGAACACATTGTTTTAATGAGATTTATTTCGCCGATGGTGAAATCGCCTCGACGGTATTGTCTATAAGTGTTAAAGTTAAATGAGGATATTATCTCGATGCTATAAAATAATGTAAGTACCGTAATATTTACAAGCGTTTATGTTTACTCGGCTTATGGGTTGTTAATGGTTGCATAAAGACGCTATTCATTGTTCATCGGCAATTTCAGAAAGTATACAAATCAGCATTTAACCGTCAGTTTATGAAAACCTAGAAGTACGCAAATTATAAACGCATTATTTCCTACCGTATCATAATAGTCGTTTGTTACATTCTGATTATACCATGCATTGTTTTAAAGATAATACCGAACAATATAAGAGCTATTTGAGTGAGTCATTCATTAAAATTTTATGTATCACGTACTGTATCGGCGCGAATATATGTATATGATTTATATATAATTTTATGTATCGTTTAAGTAACTCATAAATTTAATAACTGTTTTAGATTCGATATTAAGATAATTTCTAAAACTAAAAAATATTATAAAAAAGGATTATTTCCAATTGCAATTATTCCAATTGCAATAATTATCGTTGAAACGACGTAGATAATCTCATCGTGAATCATCAATATTGCAATTTTTATCTTTCCATGTGTCTCTTATGATTATTCTAATTTTTTGAAATTAATTTAATAAAAGATTATGGTTGAAATTAATTATAATATAATATTAATTATAATATTATAATATAAATTATAATATTAATTAATTATGGTTATCATTTTCTCTCGAAATTAGAAGTTGAAAATTAATATCATTGCACAGAAAATTACGTTTGCAATTTCGCATCATCTATGACAAATATTTTCTCTTTCGGCGCGCGACTTGCGCCTCTTTACGTCGCAAAATCGACGAGATGTGCGGATCAGTTGCGTTCATTATTAATGCCGAGGGTATCTATCGCTCCCGGGCTTGGTGGACCAACGTCGAAAAAGGGGGAGAGGAAGGCAATAAAACCGCAAGGGCGAAGAGGACGGAGGTAAATAACGGTGGAAGAGGCGTGGTTGGCGCGATGCGGCGCCCTCAAAGCACGGTCGTTCCTCGAGGATACATCCTTTAAGAGCTCGAGATACGACGACCGACGAAACTGGGAGCCCCGGAGATAAGATCCTTCTAGTTATCGAACGGACTCCCGTTCTCGATCAATGTACCGAAACCCGTTCACGGATTTCGACGGAGCCGCGGGCGAGGCGATCTGCCTCCCGATTTCATCTTACGCCCGAGACACTTCAGCCTTGAACTACCACAAGGACGCTTAATCGCAATCTCGACCACTTCGGATGTCCTTGATTGATTTTAAGAAGTCCTCTACCGATTCAACTCGCCGCGCGAGATCACCGTCGGCGATTTCCTCGACAAAGCATGCGGCTACCCGTCGCAATGCTCGTTTGTCTTTCCGACGGCAACAATGTTAGCACCTGCTACCATTCATTGGTCATCGCGATCAATTTTTTAGTTTCACGTGAATTGAATCTGATTGGAATGTAATTCGTGTTGAAGACAACTTGGGCTTTTTTATGGAACGCGCACGCCTCAAATTATATAGAAAAAGTCTTGTAGATATTTTGATGCGTAACCTTAGTATTTACTTGGTCCCAAATGAAATGAACGAACCTAGAAAGTCGAATCGTTCGATTCGGAAAATAGTGACGAAAGATACGCGATATCCGCCCATGTCCTGTTTCCTCGAAAACGAGACAAACTACATCCACACCGGATAGAAGAAGTGGTCGAAACACGCCTAAAGCCCCGGGCATCAAATGGGGATACCTTCGACCCGAGCCGAGGATCACTTTAACGATGATACGATGAACCCGCGGCCACGGAAACAAAGACTGAGACGTAAGAATGAAGGAATATACGTCGTTTAAGGTGGTAATTACACCCTCTTTTTATATCTCACAGCCGCGCGGCAGATGCGGCTAATGACAGCCCGAATGTGCCGATGTGTCTCACGGCAGGAGACGCGACCCGGTTCCTCGGATTCTGGCGCCGTTGATCACCAGACACTACAGCCGGCTACCAATCGGAATCGTCGGGATATCGCGTGTGATCCCGATGACGGAAACCCTTACATGTGAGGAAATTGCCGCCGAGTTTGAAGGATTGAAGTCTGCAAATTGATGGCTTTGGACATTTTCTGTTGAATCTTCCGCGTATCTCGCGACGCGTGGACGCACATCGCGATATAATAATAAGTAGTCATCGATAATTCGCGACTATTAGCTCGAGAAATAACTACAAAATAATCTCAGAACTTCCTGTAGCGGATTTCAAAATTGACGGTCTTCTTCGCGTGTCGCTTCCAGGTGTTCGAACAGTTCTAGGATACGATTAGAATATTTAATGAAATACGTACTAAACTGTTGATTATTTATTTTCTTCCTCTTGCTGTTCTATTTCTTTTCCCACATTTATAAGTTTATTATACATGAATTATGAATACCTCTCTTTCTCTCCCGACTAATATGTTTTATTTAATGATTATTGTTGAGCGCAAAGAAATATTTTTCCATTTATAATTATTAATTCTGCGAAAGCAATTTTGAAATACTCACGAAGATATAGAATTGCAAAACTCGTGTGGAATACAAAGGTAAAAGATTCCGTTGGGTGAAATACAATAATTATAAATGATAATGAGTATTAAATTTCC